CCTCGGAGCCCCGAAGCACGGCACAGCTGGTCCCTGTAGGTATTGGCTCATGGGGTGTTGGAGCAGAGAGGGTTTACTGGTGCACTTTGCTCCAGCAGTTGGGAGCTTGCTTTGCAGTGGTCTGGATGGAGGAAGGTGGGTTTGTCATCCCGCCTCGGCGATGCGCTTCCAGCCCTTTCCAGCAGTGTTTAGTGGGGTGGCACAGCCGGAGAGAAGCCTGTGCCGCACCTTCCCCGCGCCGTGCTGGCAAGCTCTTGCCGCGGAGGGAGCAGGGATGTGGAGCTGTGGGAGTAACCAGAGTGGTTTCTGTGTTCCCTGGCATCACGTGCTTTGTGTGTCTGTATTGCTCCTTTTTCTGGGCTGATTCCATCTCCTGCCATGGTGGGGTTTTTTATTTTTCAATGAATTAACATCCAAATAAAACACCGTTGCGCTACATCCTGTTGTCCTCTCCTCCCGTGCTGGGAGTCAGGATCGTGCTTAACGGCGTTAACGTAGTTCTATTTTCCCTGGCCCCGGCTGGAGAGGGCTGGATGCTGTCTGGATTTGTGGTGCGGAGATCTCCAGGAGAAGTTGCCGACAGCTTTATTACTGCTGGGTCCTGCTGCGGGCAGGGGCCGATCCTGGGGGACTGGAGGAGTCTCTTGGCCCGGTGAGATCTATGAGCCTGTGGGTTAATGGCAGAAACCTCGTTTCGGGGAAGGTTTATCCGATACGCTGGAGCTCGCCAGCGGGATTATCACGTGGAGAGGAAACCTGGTTTCTGTTTCCTTTTCGAGTGCCAAGGTGGAGACCTTGGGCTGGCTTTCCCCACGGCTCAGGAACGCGGGAACTGACTTTGCATCTGCTCTGCAACTGGGTTGTGGCTCGATCTCCTCCCTCCCAAACCCACGGCTCGGAGCTGTGATCCCCCAGGGATGACACTTGGGCTGGAACAAGCCTCCTGAAGAAACTTTTTGGCACAGCTGGCTGGCTGCAGCGAGGGGGTGAGTGGCAAAGAAATGGGTGGGTGGGTGTCGTGGCATGGTGGATGGGTGTCTCAGCCATGGACCTGGCCAAGGAAGCCCTCTCCATCAAAAGGACATGGGACTCTGTACAGAAAACCCACGGTGCTCCTTTGAAGACCCACCTATAAACTCAACAGCACAAGTCGTTGGCCACCTTGTCATGACCATGGCGGGTCTCGTTTGGAAAGTCCTTGGCCTCCTAGTGGGTGTTTCCAGGTAAATTCCCCGCAGGCGAACGCCTCACCTCATTTTTTTTTTCCTGAAATTCGACATTGCACTCAAATTTCCTGCCTGCAGCGTACCTCCACGCACTCGGGAGAGAGTGCTGGCTCTGCCCAACACCACGTCACGTTGACGTCTTCCACGGGAAGACAGCGACGGCTGCGCCCGGGCGGTGCAGGCACCTATTTAATTACTGAGCAAGGAGCGGCGCTGCGATTCCCGCGCAGGGCTGACCGATTTTATGGGGTTAGTCACGGTGACAATATTGAATTTCACGCTTGGGATGGAGAATCAGAAGAAATGAAGTGAACGTTAATGGGACAGGATGGGTCGAGGTGTTCTTCTTGTACTGGGGCATCGCCGAGGCTTGGTGGTGCCCCCCGAGGATGCGTTTCCCTGTGTTAGAAAGTAAGTTTATGATTCAGTAAACGATAAAGTCGGCTCTGATTCCCTTCCTGGCATGAAAATCCGTGTTGCACGGGGCGAGAGAAATACTCACAGGCGGATGGGAGTCACGGGAAGCTGCTCTTGGAGAGGGACGTGGTGGGGGGTGGATAGTCCCTGCTGGTGCCCCGGCTTGTGTTTGGGCTAGATGGGGCGACCACCGCCGTCGTGTTTTCCCTTTATTTGATAGTAATAATTTAAAAGGAGGCGGTGATATTTATAGCAGTCCCCATCTTGGAGGGGGAGATGTGTAGTTTTAGCACGCAGTAGCTGATTCCTGTCCAGAAGTTGGTGGATGTTGAGGCCAGACAGGGCCCGCGGGATGGTGGCGCCTTTGGTGGTGGCATCACTGGGAGGTTTGAGCTGCGCCGCTCAGGTCAGCACATCGGAGCGATTCAATTTCAAGTAAAGCTGGAATCAGAAGGTGCTGGGAGGGGATTTGTAATCATTTTGGTTGCAAGAGGAGCCCAGCACGGAGCAGGTCCCGTTACTGCTCTGCGTCCATCATCCTCCTCCCAAAGGAGTGACGCTCAGGGGATGGATGATGTGGCAGGAGGCGGAAGCTCGAGTAACGGCAGCACAAGCTGACCTCGCACGGGATCTGGGGCGAGGGGAGGGTGGTGTGGTGAGAGCTGGGGGGGTTCACGCCGCCGTTCCCGACCCGTCCTTCCCGTTGCTTGCTGCTGAGTCTGAGGGGGGCTGGTGGGTCCCTCCCAGCTTCTGCCACGTGCTTTGGGTGGGAGGGGAAAATAAATAATGTAGATAAGCTGCGTGAGATCAATAGTTTCCACTCACGGAATGGGTTTAGGGTTTCTGGCTTCTCTTCTTGTCTTGGGTTTACGAAGAGGTCAGAGGTTTTGCCAGAGCCCAGCGTGCGGATGGGCTGCGGGAGAGTTTATTTAGATGTCCCGGGTGGGCTGGGATACAGGAACCTGGCCCTGGATCATCAGAATAAAGCAAAAAAAGCCATTTCAGCTCCTTGATGGCCCTGATGGCCAGCGAAAACCTGCTTTATCCCTCCTTGGCCACCCCTGCCATCGTGCCGTGGATCGCTGCATCGCTTTTTTTATTTTCCTCCTGCCTCTTTCAATTAATTTCCAAATAATTGAGTTTGGAATGAAGTTCTCAAATGTCTGATAAAGCTTCTTAAAGCGTAGGAGCTAATTGGTTTTGGAGGAGGGAGAGTGGTGGTAACGGGAGGGGAAAAGCGCATGAATTTTGGCAAATCTCTGGAATATGAACTGAAGCAAACACTGAATTGTCCTGTTGGGTGAACAGGAAAAAAACTGCTCTGGCAATACCCAAAGTCCATCGTCTTCTTGCAGTACTGGTTGGCATGAAGAGTGTTAAGTAGTCAACCGTGGGAGATGCTATCTGCTGTGCTCCTAATAGTACTTCAGAGTTGGTTTGGGGATTTTGGTTGGTTTTTTTTTGCAAGGGAGAAAGGGTTTTCTGTAAATCTTGAAGGAGCCTGAGCACTGCTCCAAATTAAAGCAGGTTTTATGCTATAGGGGACTGGCTGTTTAAGTGAATTCATTAGGAACCTTTTGTCGCCTCCAGCATCGGAGGGTCAAAAGTGACTCCTCAAACTTTTATGAGAACTTCTCAGCATCCGTGAGGAAATTAAAAAGAATATATGTATGTGTTGCAAAGTGGTCAAGAGCTTGAAAATGGAGGGGGTTTCAGTGATGTATTATCCTACGAGGATGAGGCCGAGACCGACCCTGCCCAGTACTGGTAACGAGGGGCAGAAATTCCCCCTCTAGAGCCCAAATCACTTAACGTGTCCTCCAGTTGTGGTCGGTGACTCTGGGTATCTGCTTCGCTGGGATCCGGATCTCGCCCCAATAGGTCTCGGTCGACTTACAGTTAATTTTTCTTTTTCAGTAGGTTTTTAGGTCATGTGAAATAACTGGGCAGGGGGAAGGTGGTTGTTGAATACCTACAGGCGACGGGAAAGTGCTTTTTTTTATAAAAATCCTAGATGTCGTTGGGTTGTGATTGTTTTTAGAGGGTTTCTGTAGTAATTTCCCAAGCTGGGGAAAAAAAGTAAGGCAAGTCCTGGCATTGGAAGGGGCTGAGTTGTCCCAGCAGGAGTCACGTCCATTAAAAACAGGCATAAAAACAGAGAAGTAGGAATCCTAAGCACTCCCTGTCACGGGACAACGGGAATCTTTGCAGCGTTTCTTAGGTGGTTTGTTGTTTTTCTGGGTTCTGCTTCGCCTCCAATACTTAATGGCAGAGTAGTTGGTCCAAAGAGTTTCGTCTCTGGATTTTTAACAGATTAAAAGTCTCTGTTGTCCCAAACATCTCCCTCTTCTTCCACTATTTGTTCTGATTTTTTTCCCCCCAGCTTTGTCTCCACTGACCTGCAAGCCGTGCCTGGGAGAAGGCAGAGGCACGAGGCCGAGGGTACCGAAGGTGCTAATTGCACCAAGGGAATTAATTTCCTTGTAAGCGTGCTGCGGTAGTGGGTTTTCCTGTATTCCTCAGCCGGGTCTGTATCCCACGCGTGTCTCGCCAGGAGGAGCTCAGAGGCACGTCACGGTGCGGGTGAAGCCCCCAGAAGTGGCTCGTTACGGGGGGATGGGGGTAGGAAACGCTCCTCGTGGGTTTATTGAATCTCATAGGAACAGGCTGGACACACACGTGTGTGTGGAGCTGGGTCCTGCTTGCGATGGCGTTGTCATCTTCCAGTGGTTTTGGGAATACAGATGGCTCTCGGTGGCTTTGGGGTTGGCTTTTCTGGTTTTGGGGGTTTTAGGATTTCATGTTTTTAGTATAGAAGGATGATTTGCAAGGCTCAACTGCTCGCAGCGCAGGGTACGTCAGAAGGAAGAGGGTGTTTCATAAAGTCCTGGAATGGTTTGGGTTGGACTGGACCTTATAGATCATCCAGATCCAACCCCCCTGCCGTGGGCAGGGACACCCACCGCTGCACCAGGTTGCTCAAAGTCCTATCCAACCTGGCCTTGAGCACTTCCAGGGATGGGGCAGACACGACTTCTCTGGACAACCTGTGCCAGTGCCTCATCACCCTCAGAGGGAAGAATTTCTGCCTTCGATCTCATCGAAATCTCCCCTCTTCCAGTTCAAAGCCATCGCCCCGTGTCCTGTCACTACACACCCTTGTCCAAAGCCCCTCTCCCGCTTTCTTGTAGCCCCTTTACGTACTGGAAGGCTGCTGGAATGTTTCCCTGGAGCCTTCTCTTTCATTCCATCCTGCTCCCTCGAGAGCAGTGCTTCCTTGGGGTGGAAGAGCATGCTGAGCCATTCCTATAACGAAAATCAATGTTTGCATTC